TTTCCTCTACAGATATACTAATATCCGTTTCCTGCTACTCTTCAAGCAACTTTTCCGGCGGTAGTTCAGGGTTAAGGAGTTCCTCAGATTTCTTTCTCCATTGCTCAAGAATGCTCTCATCTTTGGGAGGATGCTGTCCAGACTTATTGAGATCTCTTAGACTGCCTTTTTTTTACCTCGAAGGCGGTGGATGATAAGAATACTTTGTTTGTTGTCCAAAAATTGGACTTCAACAGCTGATCGAACTACTCCCAGAATCAGCTTTCACTTTCGCCACTGCTTTGTTGCCAGAGTGCGCTTTTATACTGCATGAGAGCTGTAGGTTCTTTGCTTTCAAGCCATTTCTTGAATGAAGGTTTTTTGTCGGTGACAGCCATCTGTGCCTCTCGTAGCCACCAGAGAGTTCGTTTCTACCGTTGAAGCGACAGTCGATTCCATGTCATACTGGAGTATTCGGCGGCAGCCTCGGTTTTGCCGTTGTTAAAGAACTTCCTCTTCGTTTCTTCATCAGCATTCATTACCGGGATGTATTCAAACCATCGTGCGATGTTGTTTGCAAGTTTAGCCCTCGTTTCCGATGATGCTGATGTTTCCCATTTGATTCTCTGGTTGCTTCTGCCAAATCGTATAGTACTCATTTTCTTACAGCGCAGCATGCCAACAACAAGATGATGATCCGTTGATAGTTCTGTGCTTCTCTTAACACGAACATCCATTACTGAGCGTCAGACGATTGCAAGGTTGTTCGGGCTTCAGCATGGATTCTTCGATGTTGCGACAGGCCGAGCACAGTCATGGCAGGCCATTTTGTCCCTGGCATTTTGTATCCAGTTCCTTCCCGCTATTTCTTTTACATGCGTCCGCCATCTCATCGGAGGTCGCCCGTGTGGTCGTTTTCCTTTTCTCAGGTACCGTTCGGCAATGCGCGAGGTCCATCGGTTGTCATCAAGATGTGCGACGTGGCCTGCCCAACGGATCTTACTCTCTCTGATGAGTCTCATGATACCTTGCATACCACTCATTTTGCGGAAAGTTTTCTTATCGACACGGTCATGAAGAGATATTCTAAGCATCCTTCGTTCCATTGCTCTCTCCTTCACAGCCTCTACATTTTCTTTTCTGTGGCTTAGCATCCGTTCGTCATTGTCGAGCACGGTCTTTCTGGTCTAATACTTTGAGGACATCGATGATGCTATAGAATTTGCGCCATCCAGCAGCTGTTCGCCGTTGATGTTCAGACCGTCCTTCCAGTTCGATTTGCTGAACACTCTCTCGAGGCAGGCATTAATGAGCGTGGGTGATAAAGGATCTCCCTGTCTCACGCCTTCTCGATCTGTATACGACTGGTTTCGAGAAAAGCGTTATTTCGGTCGAGCATTCTGTATTCGCTCTTTTGATGATTTCGTTAGTTAGTTCTCATCGATTCCGTCTTCCACAAGATCTTTCGGAACAGCGTTGAGTTCCACGCTGTCGAATGCCTTCTTGTAATCGACAAAAAGGACAGCTACGGGTGATTTATACTCTCTGGCGCGCTCTAGCATTTGGTTTAGAGTGAAGTAGTCCGTAGTGCTATATTTGCTTCGAAATCCGGCTTGTTCTCTCGGCTGCTGCTCATCGAGTTGCCCTGTGAGTATTAATTCTTGTGAACAGCTTGTATACTTGGGAGAGTAAGCAGATCAGGCGATAGTTCAGATCTTCAGGTCGTCTTCGTTGCCCATTTTATGGAGCAGAACGGTCCTCGGTTCCTTCAGCTGCTAGGGATGGACTTCTCAATCAGGTAGCGACTGAATCTAGCGGCTAGTGCCTTCCAGAGTGCCCACCGACTTTCATGAGCTCAATGCTAATACCATCGTTACCGGGAGCTTTTCCACTTTTCATATGGAAGATTACGCTTCTTACTTCACTGATCAACACCAGGAGCATTTATTTCTTGGCGGTGCAAGTTTCGGGCGTTGGAACGTCGACACGTGACGCAAACAGTTTCCTGTAGAATTTTCTGCATAGTTTTTCCAAATCTGTTCGGTCCGTGATTCGGCGTCCATCTTCATTTTTCAGCGCCGCTGCTGTTCGATGCTATAACATCATTTCCCTTCTGCTCTTCTTCCGGCTTTTTTTACTTTGGACCGCCGTTATTCACCTTCGACGACTGTAGTATTCGAGGTCCTCCTTCAGCTTCTTGCGGATTATTCTGCAGAAAAAATGGTACTCTCCGTTCCTGATTTTATCCTGCTTCGTGGTTCTTCTCTTCTCCAGCAGTGTTTTTCTCATCTCTTAAGCACTTGAATGCAGTCGCCAAGGCTAAGCATGTTCGGCTTTTTTTGAGCATCGAACGAGGTTGTCGCTGAAATTTTGGTAATCTTGTTCAATACTCGTCATCATAGTCCAGTCGGTAGTTCCGACTTGCCGCCTCATCTCTGCTTCGTCGACCTCCGTGGGTCTTTTACGCTGATACAATAAATACAGTGCCCTTCATTCGACAGCCGGAATTATGTGTATTCTTGTCCGCAGCATGCGGTGATCGTTTCCTGCGTTGAACGAGGGTACTACGGAGACATCCTTCAAAATGCACTGTCTATCGACCAAATTATAGTTGATTTCATTTTTTGCAATTACGTTTGGTGTAATCCATGTCCATCTCCGTCCCACTTTCCTTTGGAACTAGATGTTACCAATGAACAATATCTTGGCTGCCGCCATCGCTACCATTCTATCACCCCTGTTGTTTCGTTCTCCTATACCAACTCTGCCAATGTGCTTCTCTTCGGCTCCCGCCTCGACCAAATCTGGCGTCGAAGTCGCCCATCACTACCGTATGGGTAGACTTCATGGTGACAGTTGATTCGATTTCCGAATAGAATTCTTCAACCTGAAGAATAGAATTCTTCAACCTCATCGTCATCGCTGGCCGTAGTGGGGGGCATCGGTTTTAACGATTTTGATGGTCTTGTTTGAATCCAGCCGTAGAAGGAGTAAACCGACTCGCGGGAAGTAAAGCGACAGGAAAGGATTCGTAGAGACCACTTCTTGTCCACGATAAATCCGATTCCATGCGGGTTCCTCTGCCTTTCTCCTTTGCCCAAAAAAGCTGTGTTGCGATACCTC